GGGGGGGGCTTTCCCAACTCCTCTTGTTGCATACTTATTTACTTACTCTCTCCCTATACCGTCAGGTACATACGTCGGAAAACAGTCGACGCCACGATTGTCCGTCCCAGGCTACTTTCTCCAATTTCGGCACATCCAGGCCCTGGGTGATTGCCTCATCTCTTATTGCGCCTCTATAGCTTCCAGTTGGTCTTCTCCTCTTTCTCTTTCCAGTTGGTTTCCAATTACCTGTCTGATAGGACAGTTTCGTCTTCGGCATTCTCAGAACATGTCCCAGATATCTATCTCCATCTTCTCTTTTATTTATGGTTGTGTTGACATCTTCAATTTCTGCTCTCCCTAGCACTTCATTATTGGAGATAAATTAATTCCATTTGTTGCATACACCACAGACTAATTAGAACAACAGGGTTCTAACCACTCTTTCAGCGAGAACTGAGTTACATTACATACTAAATCTACACATAAATTTGTCACGACGAGGTGGAATCAATCAAGCGCTCGTCAGTTTTGGGCATAAGGAGTTATTGGTATAATCTTAAAACCTGTTCATGTGCCTTGCTTTTAATGAAAAAAATACACATCTATCTTGAATAAAAGTAGAGATATTTTAGATTGGAGGAAGTTAGAGTCGCCTGGTTTCAAATGTAAAATTAGTGAGAAAATGGCTGCCAAAGTTTGATAACTCTCATAGCCTAAGAGTCCTTGGAAACTGAAAATTTACATTCTCTCTGCCTTAATCAACGTTTTTCAGTAAAATCCACCCAGTAATGTATTTTTTAATGGACATAAAAGCCGTTTAGCCAAAAAATAAAATTCGTCAAAAATTGTATACAGGAAAAAAAATGCTGTTTTCTTCTTCTGCTTTATTTTGACGAGCGCCTGATTTCACCATGATGCCTCAGAAATTACACAGACACCTTGCACACTGTATCAAAGACTCGAGATAATCAGATCCCACCTGTACATTCTTATGATTGACGTTAAAACGAAGGAGGATTTAAAGACGTTGTTGCTATAAGAGTGTGAATCTTCGAATTCAGTTTTCTCAAAACTATGCACCACGGAGTAAGAACTCTTTCATAGTAAGGGCGCGATATGATCTTGATGAAGTCTCTGTCTCCAACGGCGTCCTGGTTCTTACTTAGAGTTTTAGACCCCTGGTTTCTGTCATTTTTCTTCACCTCGGCGAAAGCGCATACGTTTTTCGTGTCTTTGGATTGTCTTCTTTAAATTCCAATGATTGCACTCCACTCACAGTCTGTTTTCCATTGGATAGAGCACTACGGTATATGAATGATATTCATAATTAACATTCGGAGCACTAAGTGGTCATCGGCTTGTTTCAACTGGCAAACTTTGATAGCAGGTGTCGCGACGCGATGGAATCAGGCGTTGGTCATTTTTTGGGGGCATATCAAGTTAATGATATCACATGAACGATAGTTCATCTGTCTTGTTTTTGTTTTTTTTAAATAAAAAAGATACCCATAATATATCTTGAATAGAAGTCGAGATATTCGTAGTTGTTTGTTTTAGTAGAGGTTTTACGGCGCTCGCAACTGCATAAGGTCATATGAGCGCCAGAAGATTAGAGGTGTTACAAGAGAGTAACAATCATAAAAAAGAAGGAGGGGAGATAAGGACGATATATGTTTGATAGGAAAGAAGAAGCAAACCACACCAGAGCACCCGCCAACCACCCACTATTTGTAGTTGAAGGATGTGAATGTGGTCGAGTTTCAGAGGACAAATTAGCGAGAAAATGGCCGCACAAAGTTTTTAGGCTATGTACTTGAAAACAGCTAATTATATGTTTTTGTTTCCTTTTGATCAACGTTTTTTCTAGTAAAAATCCACCCAGAAATGTGCTGCTAAGTGGATATAAAAGGTACTAAGGTGAGCAAATATCGATAAATATTGCCCAACGGGCGGCAAAATGACGAGTTCATCCATTTCATTATTTTGACGAGCGCTTGATTTCATCACGATGCCTCTCGAATTATCCGTTCCCGGTACCGGCTGACAGTGGGAGTGAGAAGTGTGAATAAACACGACACGAGCTCGCCAATAACAAGTCATGTCAACATCAACGCTATCCGACCACTCACACAACTCACAGCTGACAACCGAAGCAGCGCGCGACTGCCAGGAACGTCGAACGACTGACAGTCTGACAGACAGACTGACATACAGACAGATAGACGGACAGAAACCTGATGCGTCCAGCGTCCTATGACCTGAATGTACCCCTCCCCTCTCCCTTCCCGCCCAGTCCAGTAAGTAGCTGAGACAGAAACCACAAGCTGTGCTGTCATAAAACAGAACAGACGGACAGAGAAAAACAAAACCAAAATAAAAAACCACACAGCGCACGGATGGTCTGTTGTTCTTATCAGCTCTTTCCTTCCCCGGCCGCCTAGTGTGTGAACATAATGCTGTAGACCTATAATAACTCTACAACAGAGCGCACTCAAGAACTCTGGAGTTCTTCCATTTATTATTTCGAAGGAGATGTAAAATATAGGTCACACTTTGTGTGTGCGCGCGAGAGTCTTCTGCGTGTGTCTGCGTGTGTGTGTCTTGAACTGCATGTGCCAGGCTTAGAGGATGAAAAGGAAAGTGAGTACAGCATTAAGCCAGGCATGGGATTATTGTGGAATCATGAGAGAAAATCCTTACCACCAAAGCGATCGCCCAAAGTTCCCTACTTCGGTAAGCATATTATTATTGTAAATAAACTGCATGCACTTCATACTCTAGCCTGTTTTTATTATAATTTAACATATCTTGTAAATAAACTGCATGCATGATTGTACTTCATTATCTATCCTGTTTTTCTAACATAACATAATTACCATCATTACTTTATATTGTTTCAAGGGAATGGTTTGCTTGCTCTGTGTAATTGCTCGCTAATATTATGATTGCATTATTTCTCCATTTCATTTGTATTTGTTTGTGAGATTTCTTGCCTCTTCAGCAACATTATTATAATATTGTATTTGTTTGTGAGATTTCTTGCCTCTTCAGCAACATTATTATAATATTGTATTTGTTTGTGGCCTACTTTTTGTGTTGTGGACTTTCCATGTGGCTTTGTTTTTCGTTCCTTTTTTCCTTCTCTAAAAGTAGACATTACATTAACTTGTCTGGAAAGGTTAAGTAGATAAGGACACAGACAAATACAAGTGATAGCTCTTACATTTACACAAGAGAGAGACTGAATAGAAGATAATAAATGACGCTACGGTAGCACAGTATGACTTATAAACGTTTAGACTGTGAGCCAGACATACTGACGAACAGCTGGGCAAGTACGTAGATAGATAGATAGATAGATAGATAGATAGATAGATAGATAGATAGATAGATAGATAGATAGATAGATAGATAGATAGGCCAAGGCATAACTCATTTATCCCCCCTTGTCTATAAAATTAAAGAGAACAATATCCACAGAGCTTTAAGATATAGAACGATCCTTTTTATTTTGAATGATTATGCTTTATGTGTGTGTCTTATGTGTCAGAAAGACACGGAGAAAGCTGTGAGTGAATGCATGTGTTTGGAAGAGACAGAAAGAAGACTGAGGGTTTTTTTCGTGTGTGGTGGAGCTGTGAGTGTGGGTTTGTGTAAGGAGAGAGAGAGAGAAAGAGAGAAAGAGGGACAGAGAGAGAGAGAGAGAGAGAGAGAGAGAGAGAGAGAGAGAGAGAGAGAGAGAGAGAGAGAGAGAGAGAGAGAAAGAGGGACAGAGATAGAGACAGTGACAGAGGGACAGAGATAGAGACAGTGACAGAGAGAAAGGGAGAGAGAGAGGGAGAGAGAGAAAGAGAGAAAGACGGAGAGAGAGACAGACAGAGAGAGAGAGAAAGAGGGAGAGATAGTTTATGCCCCCGGACACACTGTTTATGTACGGTAATCTTGGTGAGCGAGTTTTGCCTCGTTGCAAGAGTCTCATCGCGCATAAACATAATGAGTACATTTCTCTTAGTTAATGCTGAATCTTTGTATGTTGATGTTCTGGTCAGACCAACCCACAATTTCTCTCCTGGATTAATAAGCTGTATCTTATCGTTTCTCACCTTAACGTGAATATGTGGGTGGTTTGCGAGTGCTCTAATGAGGTTTGGTCCTTCTTTCCTATCAAATACATTATGATTCTTATCTCTCCATCTTCTTTTTAGCGTATGCCACTGTCTTGCAATACCTCTAATCTTCGCATTTAAGTTACCTAATTGTGTTGAAAAAGCCGTTAAACTTTTGCTGAAACTGAAAAAAACCCCGTAAATTATGTGTTCTGAAAGCTAGAGAGAGAGGTGGTCTTGACATTTGGCACGGAAGCTACATTTCAGCTGACACTTGTTTATAATTTTAGTTTTTTTTGGTTTTGGGTTTATTTTTTTGTTTTTATTCAACTCTCCCTGCCCGCCTGTGAGTGTCAGCCCGATTGGCATAACTCAACACGCACACATGTGTGAGCGGTATGTTCCGGGATGCTGAGCTGCAATTTGGAGACAAGAGAGAGAGAGAGAGAGAGAGAGAGAGAGAGAGAGAGAGAGAGAGAGAGAGAGAGAGAAAGAAGAGAGAGAAGAAAAGAAAGAAAGAGCATTTCGGAGAGAGACGGACAGAGAGACAGACAGAGAGACACAAAGAGAGAAAATAAAATGAACAAACCTTTCTCCCCAATCACAAGGAGCCCACAACCCTGCTTAAGCTTACCTTTAACAAGAGAGAGAGAGAGAGAGAGAGAGAGAGAGAGAGAGACAGAGAGAGAGACAGACAGACAGACAGACAGACAGACAGACAGACAGACAGACAGACAGACTGACTGACTGACAAACAGACAGACAGAAATACAAACAGACAGACAGACAGACAGACAGACAGACAGACAGACAGACAGACAGACAGACAGACAGACAGAGGGGGGAGGGGAGAGGAAAACAGAAAGAGAGAAGGAAAGAACGAAAGAGGAAAGCTGACAGACAGGATACGGACATTTACAGAGATGGAAAGAGAGACAAGGGATGAAAAAGAAACAACAGACACAGGAATACCTCACACGGTAACAGCACGGGTATAAAAAAGCGGTTAGTGAAACGCAATATACAGCAGACATTTAATGCAGCATATTATTGTTAAGTTAATTCCATTTCTAGCCAGCTGTTGTCTTTTTGTTTCGAACAGTAAGTCCCCGTATGTTAAGTCGACAGGTGTATCTTTTCACCAGCGGTAATCTGCGTCCTATATTCGTGTCATGCATGCGCAAGAACTTTATCTCAAACTCCTAAACAAAAAAAGGCAACGTTGTTCCTTCTGGCTGTAACATAATTTTAAGCTATCCTTCACGGTTTTCTTTCCTGCTGTCTTCTCTAACTGAATAGTATAGTGATGTTTTGAAGAGAAGATAGATTTATAGAGGAATAGTAGTAGAATCTAGTAGTCGTCGCAGTAGTCAGTGCTGCCGTGCCAAGGCAGACCGACGTATCTGCGGAAAAAATTTTTTTTGTATTTTCGTTTAAATGGACGCCTATACCCATTTTGCATCTTGTGTCAAAGGCAGGAGGACGTATCTGCACTACAAATAGGATATTTCACTATGGACGTAACTGAAGGGCTCTGCCCATATTTCCAATGGCAGCGCGACATAACTCAAAATCATTAAAAGCGCAGATACGTCGCTCTGCCTTGGCACGGCAGAGTAGTAGTAGTAGTAGTAGTAGTAGTAGTAGTAGTAGTAGTAGTAGTAGTAG